TGGCTCCACAGACCATGCTCTTGTCTAAGATTGAATAGAAAGGCAGAGTCAGCATTCCAAGTGTGGGTCAGCTGATAACTTGGTGGTTAAATACTCAAAACAGCTTTCCAGAAAATGGAATATGCAGACCATACTCATATTCTTCCCACTACTATCATCTGGTTGGTCAGAGGCCAGATGCTTTTGTTTTTAATTGAAGTATATGCCAGATGCTTTTAAACACAAAAACCGTGCAAACTACATGGGGTCAACTCTTTGTAAATAGCGCTGATGATTGTACAAGGCAGCACGGCCCTTGGGTATTAAAGCTTAAACATTCTTGGCTCTCCAAGCAGCCAAGTTACTCTTAGCTCAAGGAGGTAGGTGCATTATATTGGTTTCCCAGAGGGAGAAAAATGATCGTTTTCCCTTCTTTCAGCATCTTTCAATGGTAACTCTGAATAATAGGTGGTCAAAAAGATTAAGTGACTTGTTCCTGCCATGAAAGAGGGCCCCGGACTGCTGATCAGAGTAAGGAAGACTAGGTTCCATGGATTTTTTTTTTTTGCGGTACGCGGGCCTCTCACTGTTGTGGCCTCTCCCGTTGCGGAGCACAGGCTCCGGACGTGCAGGCTCAGCGGCCGTGGCTCACGGGCCCAGCCGCTCCGCGGCATGTGGGATCTTCCCGGCCCAGGGCACGAACCCGTGTCCCCTGCATTGGCAGGCAGACTCTCAACCACTGCGCCACCAGGGAAGCCCCCATGGATTTTATTTTACGAATCCTTCCAAAGTATAAAGGCTGATGTGGTGTTTTAAAACAATTTTATGATAGACTATATATCTTGAATAGAACTTATTTATGCCCAGTGATATTTAGTTTTTAATATTATTACTTGGTATAGTTATTTTAGTATCAGACACAAAGCTTTTAACTATCACATGAACTACTTTACAAATAATTTTTTTACAACACAAATAGCCAAGTTCTGTATATTCAGTTAATATAAATATCTAATCTGATTTGATCAGATGATCAAAATAAATATGGTCCAGATATCAGAACCCACTTGGAATCACAGACAGATGCCCTGTGCTTAGTGCACTAGCGATATTTCTGAAAAGGTGCATACAAACAAAATTTTTGTAGGTCGAGTTAATTTACTCAGAAAATTGATTTACTATTTGATTTACTAGGGAAATTGGCTATGTGAAACTGGCTACTATGAGGAAACATTTTGTGAATCAACTAACTACCTTCAGCCTTTATTTGTTTAATTATGTCTTTCCTCAGTTTTTCAGAATAGATTTTTGGTATGCTGATAATTTGCAGTTTGTAAATTTGAACTTTTTTACTGTATTGGGTTTGTGGAAACCGGCAGACTGAGCAGGCAAACATATGAAAATACTTCAAAAATTCTCCTTTCAAGATAATTTCTATAAATTTTTAATGATGTCTGAAGTGACATTTGAAAGGTTCAGTCATTTTTTATGCACCAAAGAATGCTTATCACTAGCAGAAATGTACTTTTCATTGTTGATCAATTTATAATTGTAGAACTTTAATTCCATTAAAAAAAGTGTGTCCTAGATTATGGCATCTGCTTGCATTTACTGTTTTAGTCACCCTATTACAGAGACATTTGTAAATGCTCTGCTATTTTAAAATTAACTTCCAGGTCAGCCTGAGAATTTTTATAATTTCTTTTAGGAAACATGGACTTTTGTGGGTCTAGTATTTACATTACTTAACTTTATGCTGAACTTGCTGTTTGTATGAATGAGGAGATCTGGTTAAACACATTTCTACTTACTTCTCTGGAAATTTCTGAAAACAAAGCAAAACTAGGAAGAAGGCAACAACTTACACAATGAGTGTAATTTAGAATTTAAATACATTAATTATGATAAAATATAAATGTGAATAGGACAAAACCACTTGTCTTTAAAGTCTACACATATTCATAGTCCTGTTACATTAACAGGTTTTTGCTTGAGTTTCTTAATTACTCTTGAATTTATATATTAATATGCTATGGATTATGATGTTATTAAACACATGTTAGAAGTATTATAGGCAAATTTGTTTCATAGACGCTTCAACCAAAAGGAGCAGCTTATGTTAATGTGATCAACTCATTTTACCATGTGCAATGCACACATTTTATATAAGGTGTGCCACAGAAATAAAAATAATAAAAGTAACAAAAGTGTGTTGAAAATTGCTTTGGGGCGGGTGGTGGAGCGTAAAGGCACAGTCCTTTCATTTTTGCTTTAAATAGTCAGCTCCCCACCATCGCAGTAGAGTTGCTTTGTCCTTTAAGTTCATTTTGACCTTTTAGTTCCTTCCACCCTCCCATCTGTCCTGGCCCAGAAAGCAGGTGTGGGAGGAACTTGGTTTCTGTATGAACTCTCCCCCCAGCCACAGTCATCTCAGGTCCACTCCACCCTCACGATCCTGTGCTAAGCTTTGTGTCCACACGAAAACCCTAACGCATGTCCCCATGAAAACCCAAACTTAAGTCTGCGTTTTCTTATGCTTAAAATGAATTCATCTTCAAAAAAAAAAGTTTGCCTGTTTCTTCCCCCTTAAAGACCCATACACAGTTTGGAAAACGCTTGAAGGCAGAATGATGTGATAGGTCCTTGGGAGGTTTCTGAGAGGGCACAGAAGTCGACTGGTTTTCGTCCTTTCTTCCCCACCGCCCCCCCACCACGCTTTAGAAATGTGAAAGCTGGCAGGTGTGTCTTAAACTCACTCTAATGACCTCTAAGCTGATGAGCTCACACCCTACCCTCACTTGCACATACCGGTTTAGTTTCTGAGGTGAGACTTTCAGTCTTATTTTTCAGGGGGCGGTGACTGCGAATAGAGGAATAGACTGTGAATCGAGGAATCGTCCCCACTGCTCACTGACTTTAACCTGGTGCCTCTCTGGCCAAGACAGGAGAGTCACACCTGAGGGGAGGTGTTCACTCTGAACCCACAGCTTCAAGGACGTTCTAGACTCAGGTGGAAGGAATATCTCTGGATTGTAGCTAAAACTTTCCCCCGCCCAGAGATATGTACAGGTTGAAGGGCTTCCCCCGATGTTTTGGCAATAAGAAGAAAATCATTTCTCATCGGGGCATTTGGAATGGGCAAAATAAACATGCTGTGCACAGCTGCAGCTCCCAGGCCTTTAATGATTTCACTGGGTGGATGGAGGGTCTGGCCCGACACGGACTGTCAGACTTGGAGGCTTGATCTCTACAAGTATTTGTGTCCATGATACCTGAATAATCACTCCAAGTACCACCTGCTGGGGCCTCATTTTTTTCTTTTCATTTCTTAAAAAAAAAAAAAAGAAAGACTCCCCGTCGTCTAGGCAAGTGGAGAGAACTGATTAACTCCAGGGAACGCTTGCAGATCAGCAGACCCCTGGTGGTGCAGACGCCAAGCGTAGACGAAGCCCTGGGGGCACCCCAAGGTGTCATCTCCCCAAGCGACAGCGTGCACCTCTCACATTAACAGCCCTTGGTTCCGCTTGGGTCTCTCGCATCCCCGGCCCTCCTTCCTGAGCCCTGGACACCATCTCACCTTCTCCTCTCCTTCCACGCCCGGGACCAAGCGTCCCTTCTGGCAGGTGGGGTTGGGGGATGTTTAGTCTTCCGGGAAGGGGTCAACAGGGTTAATGATGAAAGTCCGCGCAGGTGGGGCCGCCCCGGGCAGCGGTGGGTGTCGGAGGTGAGGGGGCGCTGTTCGGGCAGCAGTGCGCGGGGTGGCGGGCGGGAGACCTGCCAGGCTGACAGAGAGGCCGGCCCTAGTCGGGGCCGCTCCGCCGCCGCCGCCGCTGTGATGCGGCGCCGGTGGTGCGCCGGGCGGCGGAGTCAGAGCCTGGGCGCGGGAGCACGAGCTGCAACATCAGCACCGGCGGCGGCACCTGCACCAGCTCCCGGGCCCCGCGCTGCGCTCTCCGACCCGCCGCGCCCGGGGCCGCCGCCCCGTGCTCTCTATGGATGTCAAGGCGGCCCCCAACGGGGAAGGACGTTCTAGACTCAGGTGGAAGGAATATCTCTGGATTGTAGCTAAAACTTTCCCCCGCCCAGAGATATGTACAGGTTGAAGGGCTTCCCCCGATGTTTTGGCAATAAGAAGAAAATCATTTCTCATCGGGGCATTTGGAATGGGCAAAATAAACATGCTGTGCACAGCTGCAGCTCCCAGGCCTTTAATGATTTCACTGGGTGGATGGAGGGTCTGGCCCGACACGGACTGTCAGACTTGGAGGCTTGATCTCTACAAGTATTTGTGTCCATGATACCTGAATAATCACTCCAAGTACCACCTGCTGGGGCCTCATTTTTTTCTTTTCATTTCTTAAAAAAAAAAAAAAGAAAGACTCCCCGTCGTCTAGGCAAGTGGAGAGAACTGATTAACTCCAGGGAACGCTTGCAGATCAGCAGACCCCTGGTGGTGCAGACGCCAAGCGTAGACGAAGCCCTGGGGGCACCCCAAGGTGTCATCTCCCCAAGCGACAGCGTGCACCTCTCACATTAACAGCCCTTGGTTCCGCTTGGGTCTCTCGCATCCCCGGCCCTCCTTCCTGAGCCCTGGACACCATCTCACCTTCTCCTCTCCTTCCACGCCCGGGACCAAGCGTCCCTTCTGGCAGGTGGGGTTGGGGGATGTTTAGTCTTCCGGGAAGGGGTCAACAGGGTTAATGATGAAAGTCCGCGCAGGTGGGGCCGCCCCGGGCAGCGGTGGGTGTCGGAGGTGAGGGGGCGCTGTTCGGGCAGCAGTGCGCGGGGTGGCGGGCGGGAGACCTGCCAGGCTGACAGAGAGGCCGGCCCTAGTCGGGGCCGCTCCGCCGCCGCCGCCGCTGTGATGCGGCGCCGGTGGTGCGCCGGGCGGCGGAGTCAGAGCCTGGGCGCGGGAGCACGAGCTGCAACATCAGCACCGGCGGCGGCACCTGCACCAGCTCCCGGGCCCCGCGCTGCGCTCTCCGACCCGCCGCGCCCGGGGCCGCCGCCCCGTGCTCTCTATGGATGTCAAGGCGGCCCCCAACGGGGTGGCCACCATCGAGGACCGGATCCTGCGGATCACCGGCTACTATGGCTATTACCCGGGTTACTCCAGTCAGAAAAGTAAGATGCCGCGGGGCTGGCTTGCACCAGGCGCCGGAGGCGTGGGATGCGGGAGGGCGCGCCGTCCGGACACCTCCAGCCTTGCTGGCGTGGCTAAAGCCAATATCCTGGCAGTGGGGCTACCGGGGCTAAAAGTGTGTTCGCTGTCCTCGGTTCTGAACCGTGAGAGAGAACGGGTGTCCGGACTGTTGGCGCCTCGGACTTTGGAAATAGTGGTAGCCTTGGGGGCAGAAGCGCAGAGGGAACCGGGTGAGCGCTCCTGACGGCCGTCGGCCGGCTCACCCCAGGCTTATTCACGACCAAACAGGCCAACGTGGCCGTTTACTTAGCGAAACTCAGCCCTTGGGGCTGCACTGCCCCAAAGTCCCTACTGGGTGCCAGGCTGCGGGCTGGGCGCTGGGGAGGCTCGGGGGTGGAGCTGGCGGCGGAGGCCGACCCAGACGTGGGTCCCGAAGCCGATGGGTCAGACTGTTCACTCCAGGCTGTTGAGACGTTGCCAGCGCGGGAATTACTCTTGTTAAAATGTTTCTGGGAGGCTGTCCACCTCGGGCAGAGAAGGAACCTGGCCAGGGCTCCGAGTCTGGGAGCTTGGAGCCAGAGACCCGTGAAAAGACTGGGGGCTGGGATGGGTGAGAGGGGGAGGCGCGACCGGGCCACCCCCCCACCCCGGCTGTCCACCGCACGTCGCGGCTACCGCTGAGCCGGAGCGGGCCGCTCTGTGCGGTCCGCCTTTCTTCCGGCTAAGCGAGGTCATGCGGTGCGGACGCTTTCACGTTTCTGGAGCAGTTTTGCGGGGAGGGCGATGAGGTGCGCTCTACCCCGTCCCTCTCTCCCAACACACGAACCCACTGGCTCTATTTGCTGGGATTAGTTCTGCTGGCGACCCAAGTGAAGCTCGTTTTACTCTGAATTGGGGGAGTAGCTGCGGCTTAATTCCCATGCAGGTGGGATTTCGCTTTTTCTCCATCAATGCATTTCTGTCGCCATAGATGGAGCTTCATTGATGTTTTTGCTGTTATTTTTAACCGGAAGCCTTGGACGCTCGTAGATGCATTTCGGATTGGTATTTTTCTGAGACATTTGAGGTACAATCAACGTTACAGTTTCTCTGAAACTAGTAAACCCTAACACATAGAGGGGAAAAACACCTTTTTTCTTGTAACTCCCCCCCCCCGCCCGCTATGCTCCATCTCTTGAGCTTTCTTCCATGGGCTGTCCTCACACAGATATTTTCTAGTTTAATATTTTATTTGGCTTCAGGAAAGGCCCATTTGATTTGGATGGTTTCTGTCTAGCTATTTTTAGCATTAGATTATGTTATTCATTTTCCATACAAAAGTAATTATATAGTGTTAGAATTTTCGAGAAAGAAAATAACATGCTGTGGAATGTGGTTTGAAGTCTTTATACTATAGACTCAAAACTTCCTTTTTTCCTATTGGCAAAGGCTTTTCCCGTGTCCCCTGCATCGGCAGGCAGACTCTCAACCACTGCGCCACCAGGGGAGCCCAGGCTTTTTGTTTTTAACCCTAGAAACTTAAGCGAAGGCACTAGTATACCATGTAGAGGTTACTTAGATTTCACCGTTGAATATTTTAATTAGGAACCATGGGATTTGGGTTGCTTAGAAAATGTAGAAGCTGTGAGATTACAAGACCCAGGGTAGCATATTATTATAGTTTTTATAACAATGGAACTTTGGTTAATAAAGAAGAAATCAAAAAGAAAACTGGAAAAGTGACATTTTAGAGACATGTTCATATTATCTTTTCATATTTGCTGTAATAGCTTCACACGTTTCATTTGACGTACAATAACTGGACAAAAAGAGGGAAGAGCACAGGTTAAGACAGTAACTGAAGCTAAAAGGGATAAAGATGCATTTGGCATAGTTATTTGTGACGGGCTCTTAGCTAACTTCGGGCCACAGAATTCAAACAGTGAAGGCAGAGAATCTCACAAGGACAGAGAATTATGTGATAGTCAAATACCTTTCAGGATGTTTAAGCTTTCAGAGGTAGAAAGAGATTGCCATTTTGCAGAGAGGCTAGGAGGAGAGAGAGCTGGAAGAGGGCCAGGCAGCTGAGCACCATGAAATAATCCTGCCCTTAATGCAGGCTTCAACTAGTAAACAAACACATTGAAGCAAACCAGTACAATATGGTCAATTGACTTAGCTGTTACCGGGAATGAGCAACAGCTCGGGGGAAGTCTGGAAAGATATATTTAGGGAAAGGCTGTGGTGAGGAATATGTAATATGTGAAGGCAAGGTGGCTTTCCCATTTTCTGATGGTAATGTTTGAGACCTCTCTTGATATCAATGCCATTTACTTTTCTAGAGGCAGGTGGGGACTCATCTCTGACAATATGCATTAATGATCAACCTCATGGTAATGCATCCTGCTGCCACCCCTGCCAATCAGGAAGATGAGTATCTAGCTCAGAACAAATTCTAGTAGTCAGGCTGATGCAAAAAGAAATGTATGTGTACGTATATTATGTATGTAAAAGGTGCATACATACATAATATACATTGTATACATAAGATATATAAACATGTATAAAAGATATATATGCATTATATATAAAAGATATATATATATATACAATCATCTCTATATCTATAAATTTAGATAGATAGATGGGTACAGAGATGATTAAAGCATTAGTCTAACCTCAAGTTACTTATGGTCTGGTAGGGGAAATAGATTCACTATTTCAACAGGTGCTAATTGAGCACCTCCTATGTGCTGGGAATACATCAGTGAACAAAACAGACAAAAGTATTTTCCTTTTTAGAGCTTAAGTTCTAGTCGGAAGAGACAGACAATAATAAATAAATAAATACATACATAAATAAAGTATTGTATTTCAAGGTGATACCTGCTTCAACAAAAATATCAACAAAAGTTAAAAGGCTAAAAAAGTCTGAGGGGGTAGCAATTGTGGAAATTTTAAATAGGGTGGCCAGGGAAGGCCTCACTGAGGAGGTCACAACTGAGCAAAGACCTGAAGGATGTGAGGGAGTTTGCTTGTAGACATTGGGAGGAAGTCGTTCCGGGCAAAGGGAACAGCCCATGCAAAGCTCTGAGGTGGAGCATGCCGGGCCTGCTAGAGAAGGAGTGGGGAGGCCTGCATGGCTGAAGTGGGGTAAATAATTGGGCAAGTGGTTGGAGATGAGGACACTATGGATACAGGGGCTCACATGAAATAGCACCTTACCAGCCATTGTAAGTCCTTTGGCTTGTACTCAATGAAATTGGGAGCCTTTGCAGGGTTTTGACAGAGGAGTGATGTGACTTGACTTACATTTCAAAAGGATCAACTTGACTGCTCTATTGGGGCAGAGGTGGAAGCAGAGAGACTAGTTAGTAAGTCACTGTAATAACCAAGGTGGGAGATGATGGTGGCCTGAACCAGAGGCGTAGCAGTAGCAGAGGTGAGAGGTGGTCAGATTCTCTATATATTTGAAATTAGATTCTCTATATACTTGAAATTCTCTATAGGGTTTCCTGATAGTTGGATATGATATCTGCAAGAAAGAGAGGAGTAAAAAAATGATTCCACCTTTTCTAGTTTGACCAGGTTTGAGTTGCCAGTGGCTAAAGTGTGGCAAGATTCAAGGCAGAGAAGTTTAGGGAGTCAAGGGGTAAGGATATATTTTGGAAGGTTTAAATGTAATTGGAGACGTAGAATAATCTTGGAGTTCAGAGGAGATGCCTGACTGGACATATAAATTAGGGATTTTCCAGCATTTGGATGGTTATTTATAGTCTAAGACTAAAGAGATCTCCAAGGAGTCAACGTATATAGAGAAGAGAAGAGGCGAAAGGACTGACTCTGGGGCACTGAGACATTAAGAGGGTGAGAAGAGGGGCATATGATACCCTAGAAGCCAGTGAAGAGTTTCAGAGGGAAGAGATTACCCGAGTCCAATGCTGCGGAAAGGTCTAGAAAATAAAAACTGATAACTGACCATGAATTTGGCAACTGGACATCATTGGCTACCTTGACAGGAACACGTAAGGTGGCAGAAGGTGGATTAGAATGTGCTTAAGCAAGAATTAGAGGGAGGAATTGGAAATGTGAGTATAGACAATTCTTCAATGATTTTTGTACAAAGGGGAGCAGAGGAAATGGGAGTAGTGGGGTTAAGAAAGTTTTTTTTTTTTTTGTAAGATGGGAGGCAATTGCAGGATGTTTGCATGATCATGAGAATGATTCAATAGAGAAAGAAAAATCAGTGATGTTGGAGAGATAGTGTACCAAAACTAGTGCACAAAGGAAGGGACATCGCTTTAGATAGGAACATGGATATAGGGCAGAGGGTGTGGATGAAGGGTCTGGAAGGAGGATAACTGAGATGGTGGGAGTCTGGACCAACCAGAGATTCTCTTCTGGTTGCTTTCATTTTCTCCAAATAGGAAGCAAGGTCATCAACTGAGAGTGAGGATAAAGGAGGAGGTGGTAGAGGTTGGAGGAAAGAGAAGGTGTGTGTTGTTCTATGGGGGGAGTAAACGGACTGAGGAAGAGTACAGTAACGTTGTCTGGCTGCCTTAAAGGGCACGTTTAGTTTCTGGTCAGAAATTTGAAGCGAGACCAGTCAGTAGGTTGTTATGTTCATTGACACAGTGGTGGCGTGGAGCAAGTGAAGAGAAGGATGTAACCAGAGTTTCAGATTATCCAGTGGGTGTAATAATAGCGGCAAGGGAGTTGTGAATGTATGCAAGGAAGGTATTGTAGTGAATGACCATAGCATTTAAAGCTGGTGAATAGAGAAGAGAGAAAATCGAGATGATTAGGGAGAGTGAAAAGTTGGTAGGATCAATGGATTGGAAATCTCAGTGGGATCAAAGGCTAATGGGTGGTTAGCTGGGAGATAAGAGGTGATGATCAAAGAGGGTTGTATTACTATAAGAAGTCATTCATTCCATAAGTCAAGTCAAAGGATAAATCCATTTATATTTGACTGTATTCCATTATCAATATTTTTGGGGTG